TGGGGGGGGCTGGCTCTGTCCTGGCTGGCCACTTGGAGCTCATACCTGCTCTCTTTGGGGCTCCAGGCCCCATTGCTACTTTGGGATTTGAACCCTGGACCTGAGCCAGCGCTGACTCCAAAGGGCACCCTCTGTTCCCGGGCCTCTGGTAATGGGGGGCCCAGGAATCCTCCCACTTCAGTCACAGGGGGAGGTGTGTGTATGTGTGTGTGCGGCAGGAAATGGGGCAAAATAGCAGCCGGTGCATGTGCATCCTCAGCTCCACGGGACTCTGCGTACCCCTGGGTAACTTGATTATCGGGCTGCTCTGAGACCTGGTATGGACACGGTGAGGAATTTTAACGAGGGAGCGGATTTTCTAGGTTTTGGAGAATCTGCCCGCGCTGAGGCTGGCAAGAGAAAAAATGGTGTGTTCAGCTCCAGGAAAGTATAATTTATATTTCCGGGGAGTCCAGCAGGGTTACTAAATCCTCCCATTAATTAATTCACTTGGGAGGTGATGGAGGCCCCCTATGTGCAGGATGAGGTGCGGAGTCGGGGAGGAGATGGGGAAGGCAGTGCCCAGGTGATTTCTGCCAACCAGGGCCTAGACTGACGAGACTCCGTAAGTGGACACATCAGTCGTGATTCTCTCTCATGGGTAGGATGGATCCCAAATGCACTGGTGTTTCCAGAAGGGGATGGAATATGGTGTTGCTGGTCAGCTCTCTGCCAGCGGACACTCTTCACCTCTATCTGGTGCTCTACTTCCCCGCCCATGTTCCGGAGTCTGGCTCCAGGACAGGGATCCTATTGCCACGCCCCACTCCCTCCCCCGGCTCAGGAGTATGTGGGCATGTGATTTCCAAGCCATCAAAACACCACATCCCAGGGCCACACTGATTAGTTCAGAGACAGACATGTGACGGAGCCAGAGCCAATGAGATGCGATGAGACTTGCTAGGAATCCTGGGAAGGAGACTCCCACACTTGCTGTTGGGCAGGAAGCTGCGAGGATGGAAGCAGGGCCTTATTGCTGCTAGGAGGGGAGAGAGACAGTTTGTGAATGGGGTCGAAGAGACGAAAACAGAGCTTAGAGGAGAGAGAAACCAGTGCCTGAAAATCTCGTTTGAGCCCCTGGATCCTGCTATGTCTGATGCCATTACTGCTGGATCAGTTAAATAGGTGAATATGCTGCTTCTTCAATGGAGCCATTTTGAATTAAGTTTCTGTTCACGAACAACTGAAAGAGGCCAGTCTGATTCAAGAAAGGATAAATCCTGTAGTTTCGGGCAATCCAGGATGGCTTCATGGAAGAGAAGGTGGATAAGGCTTAGATAAATTCAGGGAAGGAGAGCATTAGTAAAGATTTTGAGATGGTTGTAATAACCAATGAAGCTGGTCTGGTTTAAATGGCTCATACTGGGGATGACAAAATAGGAGACAGGGCTAGTATGCACATATACGTCTTTCTATACTGTGGAGTGGCATGCTGACTTGAATATATGTGCCATCCCTTCAAAGTTTATAACACGCCTCTGCGTGCCAGACTGTGAGCTCATGAGACCCGTACCTGGCTCTGTTTTTGTTCCCCCTTGGACACCCAGCACCTGGCACAGAGCAGGCTCTCAGTAAATACTTGTCAAGGGAATGAATGAATAATGCAATCAAATTCAACTAGTCCACACATCTTAGATGACTGTCGTGAAGATCAGAAATAACATAAATCACTCAGCACAGTGCTTGAGCCATAGTAGGTACACACTATTGAGGATGCGAGGCTGTGCCCCTTCCCCAGATTTGGGAATTGAGGCTCTTAGGAGTAGGTAGCATAACCAAGGGCACGCAATGTGTGTCAAGGCTGGGCTCCAAACCCAAGTCCACTGACTCCAAGTGTGAAACGCGCTGCACAGTCCCTGGTGGGGTGGGGGCAGAGGAACACTGCGACGGGCCACACAGGCTGCAGCACTTACCTTGGAGTAGTCAAAGCCGTGCTTCTCCTTCACCCCGTTCCGGCAGAGTGTGTAGTTATAAAAGCGGGAGTTTTTAAGGAGGCCGACCCACTCCTTCCAGCCTGGTGGCACGTAGGAGCCATTATATTCATTCAGGTACTTCCCAAAGAAAGCTGGAGGAGGAGAGGGATCAGGATCACGTGAGAAAGCAGAGAGCAAAATCTTTTCCTAGTCATCACCCAGCCATCCTGTGCCCCAGGCCGGGAACAGCCCCGCCCTCAGCCATGGAGCCCATGGAGCCATGACCTCCTACTAGATGTTTCTATATGCGTACAATAAAATACATAGGATCACAGAGAAAATCAGTTATTTTGAAATGTAGTTATCAACACATTAAAAGACTGTGCCATATAGTGATTGGTGTCTTAAAAAAATTTTTTTAAGACATTAAAAGCAAGTCTTTGGTGCCTGGCTAGCTCAGTCAGTAGAGCATGAGACTCTTAAAATCAAGACCTTGTAAAGAGTGATAATTTCAGAGTAGTGATGAATGGAAATATTTTATTTTGCAATATCTGCAGAAACTACAATGGCATATTACAATGTCGATGATTTCTATGGATGACAAAATTACAGACCCTGCCCCCTGCTGTGGTCTGCGGCCTCTGTTCATAACTGAAGAAAATGCTAAGTTTCAGTTGTAGGTTATTGAAAGTAAGAGTGTAAATTTTGGCATTTAAATTTATGGACGCTTTGAATTCTATCGACTACACAGCGACCAGAATGGCTAATGTTAAGAAAATAGATAATAGCAAGTGTGTGTGTGTGTGTGTGTGTGGCAACTGGAACTTGCAAACTGGTCTGATCACTGTGGAGGACTGTTTGGCACTGTCAGCTTAGCTTGAACATATTCATATCTTTTGACTCGGTGACTCAAATCCTGGGTATTTACTCGATAGAACTGCATTTATATGTTCACCAAAAGTCATGTGCAGGACATGCTCACAACAACAGTAATCATGATAGCAAATAACTAGAAACAAATCAGATGTCCATCAACAACAGGAAGGATAAACCCACTGCTGCATGTTTATAGGATGGAATATGACAGAGAAATGAGGATGAAAGTACTGGCGTCACATTCAATAAAACAGCCGCATCGCTACAGTCTAATGTTAAGAGAAATAAACCACATATGGAAGAAAGCACACTGTATAATCCCATTTATATGAGGTTCAAAAATAGGCAAAACTAATCTATCTTGGAAAAGCAAGCAGTGGTCCTCCTCTGACACAGGGAGGAGAGTGGGTGGAAGGGGTCCCGGGGTGGGGGAGCTTCTTGAGTGACGGCATTGTCCTATTTCTAGCTGGAACACAGGTGGTTCAGTTGCTGAAACTCCGCTGAGCTGGCCATGTAGCATTCTTCTCTGCATGTGCGCATGCACCACCATCGAAACTTACTCAGAAAAATTGTCCTACTTTATCTGGACAGAAATATACCAAAAAACTTTCTGTAGGTCGTGAAGCAACAGACAAGATCTTTGTGATACTTTTATGTTCTTCTTCCTTCCCGATGAGTGACTACGATTTTTAGTAACTGTAACCTATAAAGCCATTTTTAATAAATGAAAAAGTCTATGAGAGTTTTCCAGAGACGGAGGCGCTCTGGCAGCCTTCTCTTTCAGATGAAGACACTGAGGCTCTGAGACACTCCATTGCTGAGAGAGTGAGAATTCAAGAGTTTGAGGTTGTTGAAGGGATCGATCTATCGCGATCTTGTAAGCAGAGTGCTTAGCACCATGCCTGACAAATAGTGAGTGTTCGACAGGTGTCAGTTCAGAGCCTGGTTGGAGAAGAGACAGATGGGGAGGCGAATGTCCACAGAGGAAGGAGGAGGGGGCTGGGGGCAGCAGAAGTAAGATGGCCCTCCGACCTGGAACCTTCAGGAAAGCACAGAGAGTTGAGGCCTGGAGCAGAAGAGGCTATGATGGAGCTGGAGCCCTTCACGGAGTTTTCCTGGAGACCTGGCAGGTGGCTGGTACTGCCCAGGAGTGGGAAGACCCGCTCCCTGAGAACTCAAGCAGCCAGATCCCGAATCCCCACGGTGTTTGCAAAGGGAAGCGCTCTCATTAAACTCTGCCCTGCAGTGAGAGCTCCTAAGGAAGGAGCTGATGAAATGCCCAGGAAGGATTTGATCTCCATGAGGAGGTGCAAACAGGAGGGAAACTGACCCCGGCAGCCTCAGGAAAAGGCCCGGGGTGGAGCCTCCCCTAATGTGGGAGGGCAGAGCCAAAAAATAAACAGAAAGAACCCTGGCATTCCGGGGAGGAGGGGGAGAGAAACTGGCTGCCCTGGCTCTGAGTCCCACCCAATATTTAGAGACTAAAATGCATTTAGACGGTGGATGCCCAATGAAGCAGCGACTGCATGTCCCCGGCTGGGTGTCAGGGCACAAAGGATTGAGATGCCAGCTGGGGTAAGAGGCAGCATGGGAGTACGAGATGAGCTGAAGGCTTGGCTTTCCCTAGAACATGGCATGTTCCAGCCATTCTGCTGTGTCCATTCCCTTAACACAAAGGTTCTCAGCCAGGGTGATTCTGTCCCACAGGAAACACTTGGCAATGTCTGCAGACATTTCTAGTTTGTCACAACCTGGCATGCTACTGGCATCTGGTGGGTAGAGGCTAGGGATGCTGCTAAATGTTGACAGTGCCCAGCTTGGCTCCCACAGCAGAGAATTTCCCAGCACAAAATGTCAATGGTCTGGAGATGAGAAACCTAAATAACTCCACTTGGCCCCCGCACCTCCCCTTCCTCAGTAAAACAACTGCATTGTGAGGGCTGAAAAGGTCCCTAGAGGTCAGTACCGTCCAGAACCAAGACCTACTAGAGCTCATTTCTGAAGCTCCTTTCCAAACGTAGGCGTAGGCAGGGAGCTCTGCTCTGCTGTGGGCCTCTCTCATCTCTCTCCTGTTCCTCCTCCTTGGGGGAAGAATGACATACAGCAGCGGGGTCAACAAACCTTTCCTTAAAGGCCCAGAGAGTAAATATTTTAGGCTTAATGGGCCAGATAATCTGTTGCAACTATTCAATCCTGCTGTTGGAGAAAACAATCACAGACAATAAACAAATGGGCGTGGCTCCGTGCCAATAAAACTTTATTTATAAAAAGAGATGGGGGGCCGGATTTGGCCTGTGGGCTGCAGTTTGCTGAACCCTAGCATATACGACTGGTGGATTTGGAGGGACAAACTGGGCATGCCTAACCCAATCGTTCCTTTGCCTTTCCTTTGGGGAATGAGCTGCTCTGAGGAAATGCTAGATTTAAGGGGGTTTGCTCCTGTGGGGCGCAGAGGAGAGAAGTGTGAGCCTGGCTCAGCGGGAAATCTGTTTAACTCTGGAGTTCAAGCCCAAATGCCTTCAGGAGGAAGCCATGCCCTCGAGCCTAGCCTTTATCAGATTTATCAAAGTGCTATTTTGGCTTCTGTCTCCTGAAGGCTTAGTTTCATTTCTCAGTTGGTTCAGAACTTCAACAAGGCAGAAGGTGAAATTTAATAAGCCCCCTCACAGAGCCCCGAAACTTTCCATTCATGGCAAATAATACCGGTGGTGATGTAAAAGTTTCCTTTTGAAACAAATGAAGTAAAAAGAGTAAAACAATGGAGAGAACAATACTAAATGAATAATAGAATCAGTGTGCCGGGCATAGTAAAAATCATGATGGTGGCGCATGAAATTGCCGAAGTCGGGACAACGCTGCCTTGGGCAGGTACAGATTCATATATCCACTCAACAACTACTTATTAAGCACCTGTGGTATGCCAGGAGCTGCCTTAAGCACTGGAACCACAGCAGTGAATGAGACCAACAGGATCTCTGCCTTCATGCGACTGGCTTTCTAGCAGGACACTGTGACAAGTTAAGATGGTGTTGTTGTCCATAACGGTGATGAAGAAAATAAAGGATGATGATGTGACGAAGTGGCCAGAGATGGACTGAAGGCACAATTGGGCTGAGTGGTCAAGGGAGGCCTCTTTGAGGAATGATGAGGGTGAGTCAGAGGGAATATATATTTATAAAGAAGACTGCTCCAGGCAAAGGGACTAGCAAGTGCAAAGGTCCTGAGGCAGGAACAAGTTTGAGGACATTGTAGGAACCCAAGGAGGCCAGTGAGGAAGGGAGGAGATGACATTATAGGGTAGAGGGATCAGATCATGCAGGGTCTTGGAGGCTTCAATGAGGAAGTGACAAGAAGCATGACGGGGACACTTAACGAGGTTCTGCATGTCTCCTGAAATATTACACACCTGACTTTGCATTTTGCACGCATTTTTCTAGAAGCAAGTCCACAGCTTTTCACACATGTTTAAGGAACCCAGGACCACAAGTAACAAAAGCCTGGGGAAAAAGACTCACTGACTTCCCCACAGGGGGAACTGAGTTCTCCCTCGGCTCTCCCACGTCCCAGGCTTGTGATCCTACTGGTTTGTTCCTGAAGATGTGGGCCACGGTCTTTCTGATAGATACGCAGCATGGAATGCTAATAAGCTTTAATTTTTGGTCTAGTTGGTGAGACGACTACTTCTTGGGGGTGGGAAGTGGGGTGCCTTTGGAAGGCCACCCCTGCCCATTATTGTCCAGCGCCAAGGGTGTCAAAGTGTCCGGAGCAGTTTCCTCTGCTAGAATCTGCTCTTCCACATCTCTCTCCTCTCTCCAACCCCCAACCCTTTACAACTCCAGAAAGAGTTTATTATTCAGGCTCCACAAGGCCCTAGAAAACAGGGCTTTAGTCAAAGGCTTTTAGTGCCAAATTAGATTTCGCTCTCACTTGATTAGATTTCCCCCAAGGCAGTTTTTAAAATGGTCAATCAGGCCCCAGTTGAGGTGGGACAAGTAAATTAGCATGGGCCCTGGGGCTCCCGGCTGGGAGATGGAGCCCACGTCATGGCTGAAGTCACTGAGCTTTCCCAGCTAGGACAGACAGTACAAAAGGAAGAACAAACTGGAGGCTGGTGTGGGGGTGGGACGAGTTGGCAGGCAGATTAAGAGACATTAAATGCCAGGCTAGGAAAGGCCATTGACAATGTGTTGGCTGATAGATGCCTCTGGGAAGCAGGGTTGGCATCAACTGAAGGGACAAAGCACTTACAGCTTCCTGTGTGGCAGGTGGAAATTTA